AAGAGGACTGGACGTTCGATTCCCATGGCATCTTTGACCATGAATTGTGAGTCCTTCCACGTGGTTCTTTCACATTGGGCCTGCAACCAGCCCAAGCCAATAACCGCGTCGAAGGGGCACTGAAGGACATAGAAGTTCAATTCATGCGTGATTGTGCGGTCAGCGTCAAAGGTAATGCGCACACCTTTGACTGCACGCGTCGATGTGATAAACCTCTTGGTTGCCTACTTGGGTCCAACAGGGATTTTGCAAAGTCACTTGCTTCATCCCCAAGCGTGCCTTACGAATGTCGTGCGGTGAGAAGTAGTTGGCGGTTGCACCACAATCAGCCAACACACGGATGTAACGGCCATTAGTGTAGAGTTTAAAGAAAATCAACTTCGTCCTCCCTTGCACGCGATCTTGCTTCATGTGAGCCCAGCGTGTCAAGAGAGCATGGAAGTCAATTTCTCCCGACTCTACCCACGGCTCCTTATATAGGATGTGGATTTTCTCAGCCTTGGAATCAACATCAGATGGGGTTTCAGGAGAAGTTTGCTGAGTGGGATCAAAATCCAGAGAAGGAGTGATACTTACATGTTCAGCCTCTCCATCTGTAGAGTGTGTTGATGATGCCTCTACCGCCGTTGCTGTTTTCCCTGCTGCAATCTGAAACAGTGTTGGACTGAATGTCCCGGTTTGGTGCAATGCAGGCAAACTCCTCTGTTCACCCTGTTCTTCCACTCACTTTCACTCATCCGGAGATCTACCCATGGTTTTGTGGCAGGATCTTCCGGTTTTGGTGGAATCTTTGCTCCCTTGGGAAGAAGGATAGTGTTTGTTGTTCTTCATCGTGGTCCTCGGTCCCTTACTTTTGAAGGCAGTCTTTTTAAAGGCATTCATAGATTCATCGTCATTTATACACTCAGACTCGTGGACTGACAAAGAGCAAGATGCCCCGTAGTCTTGCTCTTGATCGTCATCAAGAGAATATTCATCCACGAGGGTCTCCTCGTCAACCTCAAGCAGATCATGTGCTGCAAAACGGTTGCTGCCAAGAAACCGCTTGCGGCTGGTGGCCTTTTTGCCACTTGATCCACCCGGGAGGTCTTGTGCCTCTAGCTTGACTAAATCCCGCATGAGGGTAAGCCAATCTGTATATCCACTGAGCCCGAGCCCTGGGCGATCTTTCAGAGTAGAGGGGACCGTTCCTTTAATCACATCCAGACAGGACTGCGCAGTCATCTCCAGATCCGGAGTAGCAAAGAGTTTACTAACATACTGCTGCAAGTTGTGCATGGTGCCGGTCCACTTGCTGTGCTTGAGCTTGTCAAGCTTAAGTCTTGCTTTAGTTGCAGCATGTGGACCAACATATTGTTTGATCAAGAGATCCTCAAGTGCGGCAGTAGGCGTAGCCTTTAGCCATTTGTTCAGGTCTATTCTCTTATAGCCTGATTGGACAGCTTGGGTTTCCAGGAAACCTCTCACGACGGGCTCCACATTGGTCCCTAGGATAGACGACTGAGTGGACGGGGGTGTTCCCAATACATCAAAGTAGGATCGCATGGAGCTGATCCAAGACTCGACTTCGTCCTTTCCGTCATACTCGGATGAAATCTGCGCCGCCTTCCTGTCGATGTAAGCAAAACTGCCGCCTGGCCCGACCATTGCTGGGTCCGGGCCCGGGGCTGCAACAGTTCCAGAATTCCCTGCACCACCACTTGCCGCTGCGGCAGCAGCAGCAGCAGCAGCGGGGTCTGGACCTGCTGCAGATCCGGCTTGGCTGTTAGCCACAGTCAAGGATGAAAAAGAAGTAGAAGAGGACACATTTAGAGGGGCAAAAACAGACTGACACGCAGCACTAGAAGCAGGGTAGGTAGATGGAAGGGTGCTTTGGGCTGGCTGCACATTAGCAAGCTGTTGCAGCTGGTCACGGTGCTGCTGCGCCATCTGGGCCATGTCCTCGCGCAACTTCTTAAGCTCGTTGAATACTTTGGCGAGTTGGCCAGCGCGGTCCTCAACAGTCCGGACATCCACCAAGGCCCGGAGGAGTGGAACGGTTTTCTCTTCCACCTCCTCATCGGTTAGGGCAGGTAAGGTACAAAAGATGGCTTCATGAGCCTTTACCTTCTCCTCCCTCTCCTTTTCTTTCTCTTCCTCCTCCCTCTTCAACACTTTCTCGTAGAAGAACCGGTACTGCGTTTTCTCTGCCTTAGGGGCAGCGTCCATTTGCAGCTTCCAATCTGCTGCAAATGCCATGATGGAGGATGAGGATGTCAATAAGTCTCTCAAGAGGGGTCCGTACTTCCTCACTTGCCTAGGACGAACACTCCTCTTCCCTCTCCTCACTCCCTCAAGAGCAACACTCAGAAGCTTCTCTCTTCTCTCTCTCTCTCTCTCGTTTGCGATAGTGTAGACGCAGGCATTAAAGAACCCAATGAAAGAAACAGCTTGAAATCATTCAACAGAGAAGGTAGAACTCCTAGCCGGAGCGGCAATTCATTTAGACTGGAGAGCAGTCAAAACAGCAAAAAAAGAAAAGATCAGAGAAATCTGATCCAGCCACACACTCTGGACTGACTACGTATGGGGTCCTCCCAAGCCTAGCCAGCCTCAGCTCCGTGAAAACACAGCAAATCAGATTCAAGATGTACAGCGAAATGCAAGAGAGAATTGAGTGGTGTATAAGGTGCGAGTCAGGCGGCGGATTGAGCGGTAAAGTCTGATAAAACGTCCCAGCGGAGATCCCCTCCGCAGCGAGTGTCCTGGTCCGAAAGCATAAAGTCTGTATCCCAATCAAATAGAGCAAGGTAACTGACGTCAACAGATTTGACCCGAGGGGCCCTTCTTGTTTGGGCCCGGTCCCACTGAGCCCCAAATGGTCCCAGCGGAGTCAAAACCGGGTCCCAACCAACAAGAGTTCCACGGAGACCTACTCTATCCCTACTTGAATTGAAAAACGAAATTTTGCCCCAGAAAGAACCTGTAGACTACCGGCATTCAGAATGAAATAAACAAAGCACTGTAGAAAGATATCACATAGCAAACAAGATACTCCATTCATTCACTCATCAGGTGAGTAGGCAGTTCACACACCTCACACAATCAAGACTATGGAGGATGGAAGAAGAACCCAGAGAACCCCAACAGGCAGTCAACTCCATGCACACACACATGGGCACCCTGGTGGCACGGCACTTACCTGAGTGGCAGGGCTCTTGAGATGAAAAGCTCACCCCCCTCTCACATAGTCCTCCTGACCCAATTAGCATCCTCTACACTAGTGTCCTATCATCTAGGAGGGTCAACATCTACCCCAAAGTACAAAGCCGGATCCCCCGTCGATGTTGAAGATCAAAGCAGCAACTTGCAGTCCGTAGGTGCAGATATGGCTGCCACCCTCAAGCTCGCCTACTTGAGGGGAGCCCTAAAGTCACTCCTCGTCTTCCCTGAAGTTCAGATTCAAGTTGTAGGTGCCCTTCTTTGTCCCCTCTCTCAAATTGCATTACGAAGTCCCACCTTGTGTCTCGCCACCATAAACATGCACTGAAACAAACTGGTCGGGTCTAGTGTCGACCCTACACGGCCCTGCCAGGTGGGAGCAACTTCCCTTTACCACGCTGCCCCACTTAACCCTAGTGGTAAGTGGTAGCCCTTACCACTAGGGTTAGGGTTATGGCAGCCAAGTAACTCTCGCCAACAAGTAGAATCCGCTCCGATGCCAATGTTACGATCCTGGCCGATTTCGAAGTCCACAATTAGATCCCTTCCCCAATTCAATTAATTAAATGAAATTATTCATTCAATCATGAAATTATTCATTCAATTAAATTACATTGCGGGTACTACGGATCCTCTGCGATCCACCTTTATTCGTGGACTTCACCGGCATTACCTAAAGGTTGTATTGTAACGAGATGTCGTTTCACCTCCTGTCCCCAATTAATTGGGTAATCTGCCTCTTTCAATTCAAACCTAGGTGAGCATATCCACCACCCGGTAAGAGGCACCTCAGCGTACGATCGCGCGCTATCTATTGTCTGGGGGTTGAGCAATTCCGAAAGATGCTTCGATTTACCATAACCAGGTTCATCTCGTAAAACAATAGTGAACTCGAACAATCATCAGAAAGTACAATGTTGTCCAATTGCGAAAAGAAATGAATGAACTTGAGCCCAACGTCGTCCAATTGCAAAAGGAATGAAAGAACTTGAGAGGAGAGAGAGGGAAAGAAGAAGAAGAAGAATCAAGAAAGAGATGATATACTCCAGCATAGACCAAAGACAAAGCTCTTCTTCTTCGCTCAACAACTTCCTCCTCTTTAAGTCCTCCTCTGTTATTTAAACAATAAATAAACAATAATAATTTGAACAGCTGAACCAGAATCAATGTCCGAATCCCACTTCTACTGCAGGCACAAGATGAGGTCCACCATAGCCATGGCAGCCCTTCTTCTTCCTCCACATACAGGCCAAGGCTATGGCGGACTACAGAGGCTTCAGCCTCCTGTACACAAGACAACCCCAAAGCAGCTACACCACTGCCCCATTTCAAGGTCATCACCCAGCAGCTATGCCGCTGCCCACTCAACCGCCATGCCTGACTCTGTCCGAGCTTCCTTGATGCTGCACTACCCCCACTGGGGCCTTCCTTATGCAGCGCCTAACAAGGAGATAAAGATGGTGTCTACCATAGCCAGTAAGTACCTTGCCACTCTCCTCCTTGGTCACCTTCTCCCTCCTCCGCCTACCGGTAGAGCTCCACCATAGCCAAGGTGGAAGCTCCCGGCTTCTTCCTCCCAGCAGCGCTGTAGCGCCCAGCGCTACTCCAGCCAGCGCTACTCCAGCGTGACGCCCAACTCGCACACTGAAGAATGAGGCCGGGCTCTCCGCCCTGCCTCTTGACATAGCGGCCTACTTGCCTCCTGGGCGGTGAATTCCAGGCCGCTCGGCCTCTCCAAGCAACCGGTACTACCTCCGTTTCGGAGGGAAACATCATTGCAGACCCTGATATTACCCGTACAGGCTCTAGACTCAGACTGGTTGGACTGGTACTGGCGTAGACCTACCCTACCGCTACTGGACTCTAAAAATGCCAACTTTGTCTTTTTCTGCTCGGCCTCCAGTACCCCTTCACGCCAACTGCAGTGGGGTGCAGTATCGGCCTACCGGCCTACTTGAGTGTTTTTCCGCTACCCCAAGGGCCCCAGGGCCGCTAGCTTTGCCGCTCGAGTGTTTTTCCCTGCTGCAACCCTCAATGCCACGGCCACAGGTAAGTACCGGCCCTACGGGCCTACCAAACAAGCAAATACCCTTGCGGGTCACACCACACGCATACCGACAAGCACTCAGACAGGCACGCAGGTCACAAGCACACACACACAGACAGACTTAGAAAACACAGCAGAATGCGGGAATCTCATCAAGGCATCCATTCCATCGGCAGAACTTCAGAAATCAGCAGTGTTCTCAGTCTGTGTTTTGACGGGTCGTTACATCTTTCACTTCTTTCGCAGCTTCTGTTTACCTGTTTCCGCCGTATGACCGCCTGGATTCGAACCCCCCCCCTTGAAAAAAAAAAAAAAAAAAACACACACACACACACAAATCAGAAGAAAACAGAAACGAAAAGAAAAGAAGGAAAGAAGAAGACAAAATGGGCGAGCACATCGCATGGACAACCGCAAATCAAGGGGGAAATCTTTACATCGAACGTTCCACAATGAAAAGCCACATCGCACGCCTACCAAACCACATTCACATCGCACGCCCCAAAATCGCCCAGCCGAGAACTTGCTAACGTGGAAGACTCTCAGCCCATGAGAACAACGAAGCGGCCCAATGCTGGCCTTGCTATGTAAATAGAGTTTTACATCGCACGGCCAAAGATGGCAGTTGATCGAAAGGAAAGAGCCCGTGGCTGGTAAACCTTAGAACATTGTAGGATTTTCAGCAAATGCTATGTGTCCATCAGATGGCGCCAGACAGTTCGTTAAACACCACCCTCTTGCTCAGTGCGGGCTGTTGATTTCGAAATCCAAAGGCCACAACACACTGGAAACTCGCATTGTGTCACCCCCGCGGCCCACTAACCTTTAGGGTTTTGTGGTTGATGCTGGATTCGAGTTGTTGTGCAACCAAAATCATCTTCTTCCTTACTCAGCATGCATGAAAACAGATGGCAACCACACTGGCGCCAAGCGCCCACACAAATCTCAGAGGCGTCGAGGCCAAGAACACAGTTCAGATTCAAACTTGCTTCAGATGGCTATGGCGCCTGTGCCCCTACACACTTCTCTGCCCCAGCGACTGTTTACATGCACACCACTTTCCCCAGCGACTGTTTACACGCACGCCACTTTGGATCTCCCTGGATGTCCCACACACACTCACACACTTCACGCAACACACTCATATATACACGCTACAACCTATCTCTAACCTACGGCAGCTATGGCCGCCTTCTACTTCCTAGCTACTAGCGGTTATGGCCACTTCGTCTCCCTCACAGCCCACCTCTCCTTCGGGCACCTGCAGACCTCCTTGCACAAGACACTCAGGCAGCGCTTCCGCACAGCTCACAGGCAGAATGAATCAATGACTGGTCTCTGCCTCTTGATTTATACTCCCGATGGTCGCTGGCCCGGTCCTTTCCATCGGGCCCGGGGTGCACACAGTCCAACATGGTACTTGCTGACTGGACAAAGTGCGACTGGGACTGGGTACCACTGACTAGGCGAGGCTGGACTACCCACTTTCCCACTTGCCTCTAGACTGACCTTGAGGACACTTCGAAAGGCCATTTCTGGACATTCCGGAAGTCTGAGGACTTGGCCTTTCGTGACTTTAGCAGCTACGACCTTGACCTTTTAGTACTGTAGCAGCTACGACTTCTACACAGCTAATTCCCCTACTTGACAGACCTACGGATCAAGACCCGACGACCACAGTAGCCTACAACAGACAACAGATGAATACCAAGACACAGCTCGTGGGTTCAAACACACAGGGGTTGACTTGGTACTGTACATGGGTGAGGGCAAGGTCTAGGGATCGAGCCCTGGGATCTGCATCTGCTTACCGTAAAGGTAAAAACCGTCTACTCCCGTCGGCCTAAATTGAGGTCCTCCGAGAATATTTCAGTCCAAGACAAGACCTTTACCTTTCTTATCTCTCTCATAGGCTCGGACTATGTCGGGAGCAGTCTCTAGAAGTTCCATTCGGGTAAACCGGCGGTCGTCCTCCGG